TTTGCACGTCTTTTTAAGTCTTTTTAAACCATTCGGTACTCGCGCGCTCCAAACTATAGTTTTCTGGGCGCTCACGGTCACATCCAAAGTGCGCGCACATGAAGCCGCATCGCAAACACCTCCAGAAGAAGTTATTGTTTTCATTGTTTCTGACTCAAGTAACCTTGCATTTTAATAAATAATGTTACATAAAGACAGTTAAACGGTCAGTATAAATGAACAAGTTACTAGCAATAGCACAAGCATACAAATGAAACAAACTGTGCTTTAACATTTTCAGGTTGGCTAGCCTAAAACTAACAGTAGCTGCTACTATTCAGGAACAAAATACTATGATGTATAAAGTCATAGATATAGTTTATATTGATATATTAATCCATATTAAATATGAAAAAGTTTAGTCAAGAGCAGATTTGAGCAGAGTGATTTTTTTTTCTTTTGTTCTTTAACACAGACTGACAGACAGCAGGTATAAAAGCTGCTGTCACTTTCATACCAAATGTTAATGTTAACAATGTTAATTAATTAGGCCTATTGGTTATTGTTAATTAATGTGAACAACAAAAGACAAAATCACTCACTGCTCTTGACTGAATAACTTTTGTAACTTTAAGTTTAAGAATTAATCTGTTGTTTAATTTACAGTGAATTTACTGTTTTTAATTTACAGTTTATTCCATTTCTGACATAACTTATGCAAAATCCATCTATGGATTTTGTTTATAGTGATTTCATTTGATTGTTAATAGCCAACATGTTTTTTATTCAGATTGAATTTATTAAATTTAAGAATCTGACATAAAAGGACACAGATATGACAATAAATTTTCATAATAATACATCTCTTTGGTTTTTTCTGCTCAGTGTTATTTCAGGGTTTTGATCTCTCAACTGAGAGATCACATCCTGTTTATTGTATTATAGTGACTATTTAATATTACATCTAAACTTTGACTAGGCTAGACATGTTGCCTATTAATTGTATACAGTATATGAACCTGAAAGCACATTTTAATTTTTCTGTATTTTGTGTTACTCCATAATAATGTTCTAGTTGAGGGCATTTGTAGTATAGGTATGGGGCCCAAACATAACCTCAAGCCCAGGGGCCCCTGGCCCCATAAGTCCTGCCCTGGGCGTCTGATACTATTTGTAATGCCTAAAACAAGCAGGGCAAAACTCTTGCACGTGGCTCAAACGCAGCACACACAGCCCTAGTGTGTTTCAGCAGCGAAGTGTGCAAAGCTACATGCAGCCAAGCAAGGCTGGAAACAGGAAGTGGCAAAGATGTAGCTGGACATCTGGAAAATATGATTTCTGTAAGAAATATCTCTGTTGCTCCACCAAACATAGCGCTGTGTGACAAACATATCCTGCTGTATAATCACAGGCGTGAGGTGGGGAGGAGTTCAGTGAGTGTAATTAGTGTCTAAAGTAACCTGTAATCACAGAGGCTGAAATTAATGACAGGACAGAGAGAGATAAACAATTTATACCAATGGGAGGAAGGATGCGGGGCTGGTTGAAACGGAAAAACGTCCTGCTCAAACTGCCAAACACTTCCACTTCAACCGAAAAGACAAACTCGTAATGTTTTTCAGCTGTCAGCTCATAAGGGCGTTCCCTTGTGCGCACACCCGTTTGAGGGAATAACAACAGAAACAAGCTGATGTATTAACATGTTAAAATGTCATGCACTCGATTAGAGGAATATGTGTTTGATTCCCTTGTCTTTCAAAGCTTAATGAGACAGAATGAATATGTCACTGTCACTAACAAAAATGTGCCCAAAACGTGCCACTGTATTACAGTACTTGCATGATTTCATACTACTGCAATGTTTTTTAAAGACTTGTATAGTACAAATAGGCTTTTTCTGAACATTCATATATCCTTTTTTGCATTTCCTTCAGTTACTATAAATTATCATTAAGGCCATCTTATGACACGAAAAGACATGGTTCTGACATCATGCCAATATAGTAATTGATTTGTTTCCACTGATATGTGATCATGCAGCATGGTTTAATTTATATCAAAGCACCACAAAGTAAAACCCATCTGATACAATCCCCATAGTACCATGCAAAAGACTTTATAAGGTGCCTATAACTTACACTTTACATTACATGGCCCTATACATAGCCTATATAAAACGGACGTCAATTATATCTAATAGCAGTCACACAGATAACGGTTTTACAAACACAATGACACCGCCAAGTTACTCGTATCAAAAACACAGACGTGCAAAGTTTAGTCTGCACAGGACAGGACAATAAAACTGCATTTTATGCGACTGATGTCATCTTTAAACACCTGAGAAAATATATGTTGCTTCTTACGCTCTTACGTAACTCCTGAAAACTGCACAAGTAAAAATTACGCTGAAGCTGGCGTTCACTGAATGCGATCACCTGTTGCACGCCTTTAAAAGTAAGCAGTCAAGAAACAAATGCTCCATTATGAGTACACGAGCCACAGGAGATGATGATAAATACACGGGTCTCCTGCATAAAAACACATTTACACGCCTAGCCTATATACCTGCCAACTTAAGAAAAGCGCAAGAGGTGTCAAGATAGTAACTCACCGACTCCGCTCCGATCCATGACAACCGAAGAAATCAAAAAAGTCCCCCAACAGAGCAGAGAAAGCCAATATTGCTCCATTAGAACCGCAATCCTGTCCGTATCCCTCGCATTAATGTGAACGTGACCAAGCTGGCGTGGTTTGACCAGAAAGCGTGGTGATTTTAGCGTCTGATCCTGAGGAAAGGAGAGCGTCTCATGCTGCTGAAGTGAACAGTCACTGTGAGGGAATCCGTGGGCTCGAGTCGCTTACTTCTGCTCGCCTAGTGAAACAGGAAATCTTTCAGAAAGGGCAGGACTTTCCTCCGTCTCCCTCCCTCTCAACACAGTCTTTACTCCAGCCTGTAATTACAAATGTGCCTTCACTTCTAATTTTATTGTGTAGGACTTTAAATAATATGTTGACGATATTATCGTGGGATTCGTGTCGTTTAAAGACGATGGACGCCTTCGTCGCGACGCTCTCACTTGTCTGATGTGGTTTCTTTATGGTATTTTTGAGGTGGAAATATCTAAGCATGTTTATAGTGCTCACGAGTGTGTATACTTGTTTCATGTGCTCTTGTTTATATATTATTTAATATAAATGATAAACCGTAATGAAACAAATTGTCCTAAATCACAGTAGCCTAGCTACTCACTAGTAGGCCTACATTAAATATTTTTTTTCACATCTAATTACATATTAAATTAATCCATACATCCATTTCCTAAGAGAGATACATATTTGTTTTTATTTAGCCTAAGTCTGTCCCCATATGGCTACAACTTTTGTATAGGCTACTTGTCTAATAGCTATATTGTATTAGTAATATTTGTATACGTTTGTCTCGTTTTGTTTGTGACTGCCTAAATGCCTTTATAAATATGAGATCTCTTTTAACAGTCACTTAAATATAGGGTTAACCACTGATTTATATAATCTCTATTATAGATCAATGGGTTTAACCTGTAGCAATCATAATTTGTTGAAAGTTCAACAGAAGTCAATGGGAGGTCCTGACAAGTATATGGTATTTCTATGGCATGACTTCACTTAAATAGCTAGATAACATGCATGCACATGTGTTTGTGTGCCCCCAGTGCTTTTACCTCTACAGAAACAGTTGCTGCCCTGTAATCATTATACCATAACACTTGTTATAGTGGACAACCTAAGTGATCATTAGCTATGTCAGGCATCAAGTTTAAACCTTACCAAGTTAGAATACAGCTGTCTCTGACTGTGATTTAAATTGTAGGCCTACATAAGCTGTCTCTTTCTTGATTGTCACAGTGATCCTTTTGATTTTTTTAATGATTTATTTTTTTGAGAGAGAGAGGAAGACAGAACAATATGCTGTCTCAGTATTTAAGTTAAAATTGAGGCTTGGATAGAGTAGATAGTTAGGTCTGAACATGTACAAAAGTGCACAGCCTACCACAGACGATATACATGGAGAGAGAGAGAGAGCAGGAGAAGCGAGAAAGAAGTCAAAAACAAATCAAAAACAATCCAGTAAACACACATGATGCTGTCACAGGGGTTTCAGACCAACATAGCGCAGCACGTAGAACTTTTACAGTTGGGGCTGCCAAGATCCGATAATGACTGAGTATTGTTGGTGTATGATCATAAAATCTTTCTCTGGATTTATATAACCACACTAAGAACACAGCCAGCGCTCTACAACAAGCCTATCAGGGCACTTTATCCTCCGATGTCATCACTTCTTTTACTCGTAGCTAATATTAGCACTTTATCACATTCAGTGATTTGAAACCACAAAGCAGCTGTAAATCATTAAAGGAATGATTCACCCAAAAATTAATATTTGCTGAAAATTTACTCACCCTCAGGTCATCCAAGATGTAGATGACTTTGTTTCTTTATCGGAACAGATTTGGAGAAATTCAGCATTACATCACTTGCTCGTCAATGGATCCACTGCAGTAAATGGGTGCCATCAGAATGAGAGTCCAAACAGCTGATAAAAACATCACAATAATCCACAACTAATCCACACGACTCCAGCCCATCAGTTAATGTCTACGTTTGTAACAAACAAATCCATCAAGATGTTTTTAACTTCAAAGTGTTGCTTCCGGTTAAAACACGAGGCCGCTAAAAGTTTGCTCTCTCTAGTGAATATGGTGGGCATGTTTAGAAGTTCAACTCTATGCAAATGAGCAGAACTGCAACTACTGTATAGAATGATGAATGGAAAATCTTGTTCTTCATGATGATATGACGCATTATGCATTGCTTTTTTTTATATATAAAAAACACTTTCTCCTTAAGAATCTTTGTTTTTTCGTTTAGAAATCTGATGCCTTGTCAAATTAGGATTACTAAATTAGAAAGTCTTATTTTTATAGGCAATAAATCTTATCTGTGACCAGATCTGACAAGATTTTAAAAGGTATAGCCAGTTGCTTAGTCTGTTTGGTTAAAAAAATAAATAAATCACATTTTCATTGCTGATGCACATGTGAAAGGAGAATTACATCTCTCAGAGGTCAAACATCCTCTTGGAAAGAGCAGAGGGACTTATGAAAGCACTGGTGAGTGTGTTTGAGATCATGTTGCTCAAGTGCTCCTTTCAAAAGGCAGATGAGGATGCCTGAGGGTAACAAAAACAAGAGATGAAGAAAGTGAAAGCAATTCACTTGCAGAAGGGGTGTGCTTAGATTAAAAAGTGTATAATTTTAACCGAAAATGTTTTACATCTAAATGAAATGCACTTGACAAATACGTCTAAAGTCACTATTAAAAACAAAATAAGACAATTTTTTATGGAATATTGCAGTATTGATTATAAATGACTTAACTGTGCATATAATTATTTATATCACTTACATGAAACAATTACAGCAATTAGCAAATGACAACACTCCTATCAATTTACAATGGACAAAATCAAGCACCACCCTTTTCTTGTTCAAGAAGCCGTTCCACTTGAATATACGTAACAATAGGGAAGAAAATTCAGTCACAATGTTTGCTTAATGCCGACTTGCAGAAATTAAAAAGTTGTGTAGTGTGTTCCAGCTTTAAAGTGATTAAGAAAAATAATAAAGCAATACTACAGTAGTATATGAGAGCACGCTTTATACACCTGCCCCGTTGGCATCATCTATCACTCTGGCAATAATCTAACATTTCAGAGATTACAGGTGTATGGTCAGATCCACTCCTCAGAAACACCTGAAACATCTGTTCTGACATCCACCTGCTCCACCACAGGCCTGAAGCCATAAACGTAAACAAAACTGTACTGCGGTTAGATTCATCTGTTATATCAAAGAGCTTAAGTGTGTCTTGACGGCTCTATTCTGAGCGCACAAAAGCTCAGGAGAGGAGAGGAGTTGGGTTTCTGCTGGCACGCTTGCTATGACATGCGTGCCATGTATATCTCTGCTCTCCTGTCACCTGAATCCATTGCTGTGGAAACCAGGGGAGATGCCAGAGATACAATAGGAGGGTGGACACAGTCAACTGAAAAAGAGGACATATTCTGAGTGTTTTTTCTGGCTGAGATATTCATAATGATGTGAGTAAAGATGAAAGGTCATCTAAAGAGAGTAGGCTGCTAAACTCGCCACGTGGCTTTATGTGGAGCTCAGTATGAGTCAGATCCTTACTATTCTACTCTATACAGAGTTTACTGCGGTTCTCAGTGTGTTTTAGATGCAAGTCATGACCCAGATTTTACATTTCACATCAAGAAGGCACTCAACATTGTGCTAAAAGTGTTTATCAAATAAAAGTAAACAAAAATTACTTTATAATTAAACACTGAGCATGAAACATGATGCACTATATTATATTAAACAATGCATGTCCAATCAAAATACCAAAGAATTTGACTAGAGGCACAAAACAGGATGTCAAAAGCAAAATATATGGATTTTTACATTTTAAAACTTGATAAGACCATTTATTTGCATATATATATATATACAGGTGCATCGCAATAAATTAGAATGTCGTGGAAAAGTTCATTTATTTCAGTAATTTAACTCAAATTGTGAAACTCATGTATTAAATAAATTCAATGCACACAGACTGAAGTAGTTTAAGTCTTTGGTTCTTTTAATTGTGATGATTTTGGCTCACATTTAACAAAAACCCACAATTCACTATCTCAACAAATTAGAATACTTCATAAGACCATAAGACCAATAAAAAAAAACATTTTTAGTGAATTGTTGGCCTTCTGGAAAGTATGTTCATTTACTGTACATGTACTCAATAGTGTGTGGTGGCTCTTGATGCCTTGAGCCCTGCCTCTGTCCATTCCTTGTAAAGTTCACTCAAATTCTTGAATCGATTTTGCTTGACAATCCTCATAAGGCTGTGGTTCTCTCGGTTGGTTGTGCATCTTTTTCTTCCACACGTTTTCCTTCCACTCAACTTTCTGTTAACATGCTTGGATACAGCACTCTGTGAACAGCCAGCTTCTTTGGCAATGAATGTTTGTGGCTTACCCTCCTTGTGAAGGGTGTCAATGATTGTCTTCTGGACAACTGTCAGATCAGCAGTCTTCCCCATGATTGTGTAGCCTAGTGAACCAAACTGAGAGACCATTTTGAAGGCTCAGGAAACCTTTGCAGGTGTTTTGAGTTGATTAGCTGATTGGCATGTCACCATATTCTAATTTGTTGAGATAGTGAATTGGTGGGTTTTTGTTAAATGTGAGCCAAAATAATCACAATTAAAAGAACCAAAGACTTAAACTACTACAGTCTGTGTGCATTGAATTTATTTCATACACGAGTTTCACAATTTGAGTTGAATTACTGAAATAAATGAACTTTTCCACAACATTCTAATTTATTGAGATGCACCTGTATATCACTGTTTGACAGTCTGTGACCCTATATTATCGGAATAGACTTACGACCTATTTTTGGGCTGAAGTAACTCCTGTACAAAGTTCATCTGACAGATTTATTCTTTAAAAACCAACATTTCCGGTGTTAGTGATGCAGTGTCCCACAATCCCAGAATACAATGCGACAAGCTCAGTGAAAAAAGTCATCCAAGATGGCAGATGGAGACAAGAATAACTTACTTTTGGCTTATTTCATTAAATATAAAAAAAAAAAAGTCATTAGCTGTTAGAAAACAAACAAAAATATATCTAATAGACCAAAATGAACAGAAAAACTAAATAGTTTTTATTAACGAGGAGAGAAAATGAGTGGTTACAGTTAAAGTCAAATCAGATCTAGATGACTTATTCAAATAACTTGTTTCCTTTAAAACCCCCTGGTCTTTTCAAAGTAGGCTATGATGATATTAGACTTATAAAATCATCTGAATAAAGACATTCTTCTTTAAACAAATGATTTGTTTTTTCCTTTTGTTTTTCAGTATTTTAAAGTATTGCGATCTT